CTCTGCTTTTGGAAAGATTCCCTTGTACCCTTGTAGGATAAACCATATGTTTTCATTTTCTTAACTGGGTCTTTCAAAGGGAAAAAATGTTTAATTTTGGTGATATAAATTTTTACTACAATTTGTACTTTTTGTATCCTACCTAAAAATTTTCATCTAACTCAAAGTCTCAAAAAAAAGTTTCTCCTATGTTTTGTTTATTCTAGAAGTTTCTACATTTAGGTCTGTGATCTATTTTAAGCTAATTTTTCTATATGGTGCAAGGTGTAATTTTCTTGCAGGTGGTAGATGTCCCGTATTTCCAGTACTGATTTGTCAAAAAACCTGTTCTTTCTACAGTGTTTATCCTGGCATCTTTGTTGAAAATCAGTCTCATATACTTTTCTGATTTTTTATTTTGTACCATTGATCTATTTGACTATCATACAGTACCACCTTGTTTTGCTTTTTGTAACTTTATAATAAGCCTTGAGAGCAGATAGTTAATCCTCTAACACTGTTCCTCATTTTCAAAATTGTTCAGCTATTCTAGGTTAATTTGTGAATTACTGCAAAACTTGTTGGGATTTGCATTGGGATTATGTTGCATCTACAGAGCAATTTGGGGGAAAATTGATATGTTAACATTGAGGTTTTTTGCATGAACATAATTTCTTCATTTATTTATAGTATCTTTTGTATTTTCTCTTGTCAGTGTTTTGTAGCTTCAGTATGCAAATATCGCACACTTTCTGTTAAGTTTTTCCCCTAGCTATTTAATATTTTGTGATGCTGTTATAAATGAAGAATTTTTTTTCATTTAAATTTCCTGGTGGCACCTGTGGCTCAAAGGAGTAGGGCGCCAGCCCCATATGCCGGAGGTGGCAGGTTCAAGCCCAGCCCTGGCAAAAAAAAAAAAAAAAAAAAAAAAAAAAATTCCCATTGTTGTTGTTAGTATAATTACTATTGATATAGTTACTGTGTGTCTTAAGACCTTGCTACACTTACTATAGCACCTTTTTGTAGATCGGATTTTCTAGGTACACATATCACAGCCAAATAAAGGCCGTTTTACTTCTTTCTTTTCAATCTCTAGGGTTTTTATTTCCTTTTATTGATTTATTGTATTGGATAATGTCTCCAGTGTAATGTTGTATAGCTTTATATCAGATTGAAGAAGCTCTCTTCTATCCCTGGTTTGCTGAGAGTTTTGTCATGAATGGATGTTGAAATTTTGTTAAATGCTTTTTTTGACTCTGCAGATAG